GGCGTTCATCGTTTCTGCAGGAGGAATCCACCAATTTACTGAAAAATGTCCTTCTGGAACAAGTTCTGGCTATAGAAAGCAATGTCCAATAAGAACCATGTACTAGTGGTTCCAAGCAAGTGTAGCCCATGGCGTCGCAAAAACTCCTTCGAAAACAACCCAAAATCGTTTCCTCTTCTCTTCTCAATTATTTCCGGTTCCACTTCTAAATCGACTTGGAGTACTTTGGACATATCAGCAGCGGCCTGTTTAGCGTTCTTGGCCACTAAGGCGGTGTAACGGGCTGTTTCAGGCATCTTCATCCGCCAATAATACGTTAGTGCGGCGGGTACAGCACCAAACATCACAACTATCCGCCAAACATAGTCAGCTTGGGGGACGGTAGAGCCAATAGCGTCTTCGGAATAGGGCCTGGCAGGATAAGCGGAGTTAAAAGCAGCAGAGACTATAATGGCAACAATTCCACCGGCCAAAATTCCAAAACCTTGCATGGCAAACACGGCCGCGATGAATGCTCCACGAGTCTTTTTATTAGCATACTCGGACATTATGGTGGCAGAAAGCGGGTAATCCCCGCCAATGCCAAACCCAAGCCAGAATCGAAAGAAGCAAAGTGTGGCCATAACAGCCGCAGGGTCTTTGCCAAATGAGAGACCAGAGGCAATTGAGCAAATGACCATGAGCATAAGGGTCATGCCATAGACTTTTTTGCGGCCCATTTTGTCACCGAGCCACCCGAAAAAGAGTTGGCCCGCAAGCGTACCACAAAAGGCGACACCATTGGCCGCGGCTGCCACGTTTGGTGGCAAAATGCCGGGTTTTTTTGAATGATCATCATGGTAGTATATGCGGCCGAGCGATTTGGTGACAAGAGAGATACAGAAGAGATCATAGGCGTCGGTGAAGAAGCCCATGCCAGCAATTATAATTGCAGTGAAATGGTACCATTGTGTTTTGGCTATATCAAGTGCATTAAGCACTTTTAGTTGTTCTCTTGCCATGACCACCTCTTCTCAAAAGCTCTTTCACTTTACTACTTGTAGTTGCTATGTTCTGTGAACAAGACAAGGGAGATTTATCAATAAAAGCTATTAAAGTTAGTAAATTTTAAATAACTAAGATAAGAATTTAATTATACACAATACGAACATGGCTAAACTTCAATACAATCGGATATAAATTGAACAAATTTTAATACAAATTAAAGAAAAAGACATGACATGACTATTTATTTACAGTCCTATATGATACCAGTGGAAGATATTTATAAACAGAAACAGGTACTCCATGATTAAGGACTAGTTGGTTTTTTAATCAATAATACTTCTGTCAAAAATAGACAACAAAAGATGACAAGTTTTTCCACAACTTTGACACTCTCTTGCATACATGAATATTCAAAGGTGGGGGCCAAATGCTCTGACCTTTTATGGCTATGTCGTATTGAATATGGCAACTTAAAGTAACTTTTAAAATTACAAAATAGCCTAGCTCTTTTTTTTTTTTTGTCACGAGAATAATTCCAATGAAAATCTTGAATAATATGTATGTGTTAAATTTGAGTTTTATATGATTATAAAAACTTGAATTTTTGAATTTATTTTGATTATAAAAACTCAAACTCAAACTCAAAACAGAAAACACCGCTTCCTTTATTTGACCATTATACCAACGCGGTTTAGGATGATAGAATTTCGGGGATAAACAAATAATAAGAAAAATAAATAAATAAAATGTCACAATCAAAATTATATACTATATAACAGCTGTTGTTCAAATAATAGAAAATATAGATACATAGAGATTCTCCATGCTGGACCATTTGGTGAACTTTTGTTTTTTTGTTAAAACGAGGGCTCCTAAAATTTGGAGTTATGTCTAGAAGTTTTGGCGCTACCCAGGCCTACTCTATTATTACAGGGAAACTGTTTGAACCAGGATTTTAAAATCTAACGATAGAGGTGATGGTCAATAGGTCAACGGTTAACTTTACTCAACAGTCAACTCCACTGTTAAGCTACTATTTTTCCATCAAACTCTTCAAATTTTTTTCCTCGTTTTGTTCTCTGTCCGGCCGCCAAGATATTCAGAGTTCTTTAGTGAAAAAGGTAACTTTGTAATTTTAGAAAAATTACCAATAATATTTTAAAATCCAACAGAAAAGATAGAGGAGACTTTTCAACCAACCAAACAAACAAAAACATGTGAACTACATGAGCTTTTGTAGACAATTTGGGATTCACGAAAAGACAAATTTTACCAACCCAGAAGGCTGAATGTGTGTGTATGTGTGTGTGTGTGTGTGTGTGTGTGTGTGTGTGTGTGTGTGTGAGAGAGAGAGAGAGAGAGAGAGAGAAATGAATTGCGACCCATGAACCAAAGTGTCTTTATTAATAACCTAATTTTCCAAAGGAGAGAAACAAAAGGACACTGTTTTGAACGCTGGAAACAAGGCATTAAAGAATGAGAAAAGAGAGATCAAAACCCAATTTCATGATTAAATCTCAACTACAAATTGGATATCTCATCTCTCTGTCTCTGTATCTGCCTCTCTCTCTCTCTCTCTCTCTCACACACACACACACACACAAGAACATAAATAGCAATTCGTTTCCTTTTAAGGCCAAAATAATCAACCTAAACATGTCATACATATACACACAGATACCTAGAGAAAGTACAGACTACAGAGAAACATATATACAACATTTTACGGGTTGGAAAACAAAAAGTAAAAGAAATTACACCCAAAAAACAGAAAAAGAAAGTAGAAATATCCTACAAGAAGGAACCATCTCACCTTAGCAGTTTCGTACAGCTACCCTTTTTCCAAAGCTTTCAGAGAGTTGCAGCAACCTTGGTCACAAACAAAGAACAGGAATGAAAGACAGGCAGAGAAAGAGAAATGTAGAGTACACTATCGAGATCGAGAACGAGATCGAGATCGACATCGAGAGAGTATGGAGTCTACTGACTATGGAGAGAAGTGAGAAGGGAGGGGTGGTTCGTATTTAACTTGTATCGGAGTCTATCGTTCATGGTTTCGCTTTGAGGATATTCCACTTCTATCCTCCACAAGTTTTTCTATTCAGTGACTCTGATTCTGCCATGTCGTCATTTGGTCCACATACTAAAGGCTAGTTTGACGTGGCAAGATCTGGGGGGTTGGTTAATCGTATTTTACACTCTCACATTTGTTGACACGTGTCCCATTTTTTCCAACTTAACTTCTATTGACTGTCCTTATGTCTTTATTTTCCAATATTTAGAAATATTACATGTATCGACTTCATTCATTTCGGGAAGAGCAATAAGGCGTAAGACCTAATTTATTAATATAATGATGTGATTTTAATAGAATCGTTGGATCAACACCAAGTTCTAATATTTGATGGACCCTATAATTAATCCAAAGATCATAATAAATTAGATCAATAAATTAAGTCAATAAATTAGGTTTCAATACTATTACTCTTCAGAAAAATACTTAAATTTTTTTTGTTTAGTTTTTTTCTGTTGACCACACGTCATACCTATGCTTTTGATTGATTAGTTTTTTTATTTTTGAATAGTCAGGCGTCTTTGAGTTATGATATTTTTTAAAAAAAATTCAACGATTCATTTATATATGAATTATTTAAGAGCAATGTTACGTACATTTAAAAATTAGACTTAATAATTACAACTATTAATTTCACTGTGAGTCTCAATATTCATTATGACTCATTACCTATTCAATAGTTAAAATTATCAAATTTAATTTTAAATCTATTTTTTAAATTTATCTAGCATTACTCATCATTTAAATACAAATTAAATAGTTTAAAAATTAAATTAATAAAATTAATATTTTAATGATCAAAACTAGCAAATGGTGTATATTTTAAAGATAAACTTGGAGGTTTGTTTAGACAGTCAATTGGAGTTGATATCTCAAATTTAAGTTGATCCAAATAATTGAAGAAACACACCATTGTCGGCTGCAAAATAAAGCTTGCCGTTGACATCAACCACTTCACTCTTAATACAACTCCTTCCTTTCAATTATTGTAAAATAATGCACAAATCCCAAAATTGTGTAAGTGATAATAGGGAGGAATTATAAATTCAGACATTTTGAATTTGAATCTTAACAATTTTTTGAAATCAAGTCACGAGAGGGATTTATCTTTCATAAATACACTAGACGTGGTGGTCTGCTTTTAACCAAATCGAGAAGGAAATTAATCGAGATGCGCGTAAATTGATTCGAACACTTTCAACCGTGAAACCGAAAAACAATAAAATAAAAATACACATTGGTAATTTTTGATAAGGTTTGATGCCAATTCGGGTATTTTTGCCATAATCGTAAGTTAGCACTATATTGATAGTGCGTCACAAGTTTAAGTAACAAAATTAGTCTATTCACTTGTGTGAGTACAATTACGTACATTATACACTCTTTAAAACTCGTAACGATGACAACCTCATGCGCTCACTTGGCCTGATATTTTGGATTGAAATTGAAGGTTTATAAAATATTTTTTATAGGTGTAATGGTGATGAAAAAGACAAACAAAGAATAGCACAAAAAAATAAAATACAATTTTTTGGTACGAATGAGATTGTTTTGGTTCAAAGATAAAAATTATCAAAAGACTTCACAAGTCAGCATTCTTGATTCCGTTCACATGGATGAATTTCCAACATCTTTCCTCAATGAAGACTTCAAAAAAATGTGTCCTCAATTAGGGAAAAATTGGAGACAAATTGCTGCAAGTCGTGTTTATATCTATTAAAGTGGGAATGCTTTGGAAGCCACCAAATTTAGGTGCATGTACTTAGCTTAATTTTTGATGATCAAAATAAATTTAAACTTAGGTCGTATAATATTTGATAGTTTTATCGATGGGATCTAAATCTCATTCTATAGGTCGTATAATATTTGATAGTTTTATCGATGGGATCTAAATCTCATTCTATATATTTGCTCTTCAATCTATCTATTAAGAGATCATTCATTATTGATGAGTCTGGATTTGACTGGGTCAAACCTAATACATGGAGTATGTCTAAATCAACTAAAAAATAAGTCAAGTCTAGCTCGTGACCTCAGCCCAGTCTAAAATTCAAAGGGGTTCAAGAAGATTAACGGGGAGCAATTATTGGGATAGTCACTCTCCAAAATCAAGACTATCTCTAATTGTACCTATTTTATTTGTGTTTATCATCTCCAAAAGATTAGACACCTACCCATCACGTCATCGTCTCAACTAAAACTCTATATCTATAAATTATAAACTCTCTCCACACTCCATATGAGAGGGACATACCTCTACATCCCTACACACCTTGTACATAACGCTCTCTCTCTTAGCTATCTAGAGCTCACCCCTTGCTCTCTCTTCCACCATCTACTTTTACAGTTCTCTGACCACCGTCGTCACCTTTAAAGTGGAGTAGATTAATCTGACAAAATTACTATATATCTGTGTGTTGACTCAATTTCTGTCTTTTATTTGTATTATTATACTCAACAGTTGATTATGCATAATTTCACTTTTTTGCATCATCAATTATCAATGAATAAAAAACTCACTTGTATGTAATGGGTCTCAATTACATACTTGAGGTGATCCGTCAAGAAGAGGATTAAAAAAAAACGTATTGGAGGAAATTTCACTTAGGAATGATAATGGACCGGAATGGGAGCGGGGGAGTAGTCTCTAGCTTAAAAAATGTCCATCCATTCCCAAAAAGTTTTAATCCTCACCCTCGCCCCGCGGGTAAATTCTAATCCCCACGCCACCCCTGTCATCCGTCCATAATAATGAACGTCTACAGATAGTCTATAAAGAATCTAATTCCATTAAAAAAATTATCAACTCAGTCATCTCTAAAAAATCAAAAAATATATATAAAGCTAATGAGTTTAGTAGAGTTTACTTACCGAAAAAGAAGTAAAAAAAATAAAAAAAGAGTTTAGTAGAGTTGGGTGGGAGGAAAGTTTCAGTCTATC